ACAACTGCAGCAAAAGTTTCCATTAGGAACATACTTCGTGCCACCCCTAGGCAGGCTATTTCAAATTTGGCTCCTTTCAGACTCAACAGCTTCCCCAGGCTCCTTGCTTTGTTGCAAGGAACAGACTTAGTAGTCAAGTGGGCTGCTCCACATCCAGTGAAGCAGCATGTTTTGAATTTACCTTAATATTACCCTCATGAAATTCTGACTGTTGATCTTGAGAGAAAGGGCAGAACCCTTTTATTTTCTTCTAATTTGGAGATCAGGTCAATCACAGAGTGTGGTATAATAAAAAATATATATTTGGTCCTTGCCTCAGTTCCTCGCACAGAGCTCCTAAAACCCTGGGAATTTCCTGAGTGCTAGGAACACCTTTTGTTATTTATGAGTCCCTTTCCCTTATATCTGAATTTACGCTAAAAAGGTGACTTTTAGGGGGCACTTAGATAGCTTCAGTAAGGGGCTGGTTGCCAGAAAAAAAAACCAACCACCTGATTAAAGGATTAGAACTTCTAGTCCCACCCCCAATCTCCTAAGAGAGGAGAGAAGTTGGAGATTGAATTCAATCACCAATGGCCAATGATTTAATCACTCATGCCTACATAATGAAACCTTGATAAAAAAAAAAACCTCACAATGATGAGGTTTGGGGGAGCTTCCTGGTTGGTGAACATATCAATGTACTGGGAGAGTGGTGCACCCTGACTCCACAGGGACAGAGGTGCCTGCACTCGGGACACTTGGGGACCTTGCCTTATGTACCTCTCCATGAAGCTGTTCATTTGTATCCTTTATAATAAACCGAAATTTTAAGTATAGAGCTTTCTTGAGTTCTGTAAGTCATTCTAGCAAATTATCAAACCTGAGTGGGGGGGTCGTGCGAACCCCTGAATTTGTAGTTGGCTGGGGAGAAGTGAAGGTAGCCTGATGACCCCATTTGCGGCTGGCATCTGAAGGGGGGGTAGTCTCATGGGATTGAGCCCTTAACCTGTGGAGTCTGTGCTAACTCCAGGAGTTAGTGCCAGAACTGAATTGTAAGGACACTCAGTTGATGTAAGAGAATTGGAGAATTGCTGTTGGAAAACCACATACAAACAAAAAAAATGGAGTTTTAAGTGACCATCTATTATTGTCACGAATAGAAACCAGGTACATTAAGGAGAACACAGAAGGATGACTTCCCGGAGACCCGGAAAAATATGTGTAAAAATTACATTTTTGAATGGGGAAGAAACCCAGTTACCACAACCTGGAGGTCTGTGCAGGTGAATGGGTTCTCTAGATTGGTGTAAACAGGAAATCAGAGCCTCATGCAATAAAAGATCTATTCACCATCACCCTACAATAGAGAATTATAGATACAATTCACTTCTGTAAAAAAATTACTCTTGGTTTCACCTATGGGGGAAAAGCTTATGGCCCTGAACTGCTTTTTTGTTTGTCTGTTTGTTTGTTGCACTGATGAAAACTTGAAGAAATCTATGATTTGTAGGAATGGATTAACCCATTAATTGCGGGTTAACCTGATTTAACACAGCTGCCTTCCCAGATTAGAACCTCTCTCCTTCTCTATGCAGACGTTTACAAGAATAACAACAAGAGTCTGTGATTCTGCTAAGCAAGTTAGCACTGGTAGGACAGAAAATAAAGCTCTACTTAGTAAACTTGATTTTTTTCCTTTTTTGCCCCCAATGACTTTTTGTCCTTTTCTCTTAGTATTATAATAAAGCTCCTTTTAAACACTTTGAAACAATTTCAGTTGTGTTATGGAACACAAGAGAATAAGATTATAATTTCATGTAGATATGGGCCAGCCCTCAGCTGTCAGCAGGAGGAATCAGAGTGAGAATCGAAGAGAAAGGTGCAATTGAGGAAGAAGCATCAGGGTGACTTCAACAGGCAGGCCCCTCCACCTGGAACACTTCCTTTCAGTGTTCTTTTCTGCTTAAATTTTAAATAGGTTTTCTTTTTACCAAGAGAGGCTGTCCCTTACAATAACTGACAATATTCCATAATGGACCACACTGAAGATCCCTTACATAGGGAAAGCTTCTCAGCCTAGATTCCAAATTGAAAGAAACAGCTAATAAAAGCTACCTTGAAACAAAGTGTTACTTCTTACCTTGGATCTCAAATTCATCAACCTCATCAGTAGAGCCAGAGTCAGAGAACTGTGCTGAATCATGTGAACTGAACTGGGAGCTGCTGGAAGTGACCCGAAAACCTGGTGGGTTTAAAAAATAAATAAATAGCAATAAACAGGACAGAAAGAGGTCTCCTACTCCCTCTAGGGTCACAATAAAAGGGACCTGGTATGACTTCAAAAGAGAAGTAAATAGAACACTGGCTGAGGTGATGCTGGGGAAGTGGAAACTAGCTCTTCTTGCTGGTTGATCTCCATTTTATTCATGAAATTTAGAAAGTTTCATGTAAATAGAAGGTACTACTATCTGGGAAGTGAATCTGGAACCATTGGTCTTACTTCTCCTCATATCAGAAACCTACTTTTTGGAAGATATTTCTGAGGTAGGAAATGGATGAACTCTAGGACTCTGGTCTGGTAGAAAAAAAAAAATCAGAACAACATAGGAAATCTTTCTGATGGCAGAGGAACCCTTGGCTGGTTATAACATCTCAAATTAAGAGAAAAAAGAAAGCCCATGAGGCACCATGTCTTATCCTGCAGCCCTGAAGAAGAAGGAACAGACGTGTTCACAGCCTCACTCACTTCCATGCTCAGTCTCCTGGTACACAGGGAGCAGATTCTTGGTGCGGATCTGCTGGCGACGAAGGCGGATCTTCTGCTTCAGTTCCTGGATCTCTCTATCGCTTTCTTCCTCCTCGTCTTCCTCCTCGTCTAGGCACTGGCTCATCATGTTGCACTTCATTAGCTCAATGGCAGCAATCAAGGACTCTGAGATGCTGAAGTGGGCATTCTCCTGGGGTAAGGAGAGCAACAAAGAAGTTGCTTAGTAAGGGGCAAGAAGTATTAAACACCTCACTGATAATAACGTGGGAAAGTAGAGCTTCCAAGACACGCACTGCTTTTATTCAAAACACCCAGGGAAATGCACATTTCTACTAAAAAAGAAAGCTGATGGCCAGAAAACCTGTTCTACATTCTCTTTGCTCTTGTACCCGGCCATGCCTGGCCTTCCTGTTCCACTTTCTACACAAAAATATGACAGAGAAGTCATCCAGAATTTCATATCAGGGTCTTTCCTAAGACCATACACCTGTACACAAATTATTAAGGTAGATGTGATGTCTCAAGATAAAGTGCTTTATAAGCTATAAAATGCTACAGGCACATTATTATTATTATGATTACTACTATTTTTTTGTGTGTGTGAGGAAAATTGGCCCTGAGCTAACATTTGCTGCCAGTTTTCCTCTTTTTGCTTGAGGAAGATTGTCACTGAGCTAACATCTGTGCCAGTCTTCCTCTATTTTGTATGTGGGATGCTGCTACAGCACAGCCCGATGAGCGGTGTGTAGGTCTGTGCCCAGGATCTGAACCTGCAAACCCCAGGCTGCCAAAGCAGAGCACATGAACTTAACCACTACGCCACTGGGCTGGCCCAGGAACATTATTTATTACACATCTGAGACTTAGAACAAAATATAGAAGTTGATTCTGGGGCCGGCCCCGCGGCTTAGCAGTTAAGTGCACGCGTTCTGCCACTGGTGGCCCGGGTTCAGAGCCCGGGTGCGCACCGACGCACCACTTCTCCAGCCATGCTGAGGCCGTGTCCCACATACAGCAACTAGAAGGATGTGCAACTATGACATA